ACTTTAGCTGGACCAAGTATAACAGAAATAAAAAGACAGATAAACTTGGCTTCCACATACCTGACCAAGTTTGGCACCAGGAAACTTGGCTCTTACGGCATCCTCAAGCTCTTTACCCAACGGTGCAGCCCCGGACTTCACCATCCTTACAGGAGACAAGTCGTATTTATCAGTTTCAGATGACTTAGCAATGGCCAAAACTATAGGTGGCACTATTGGAGCAATTGTCACTTTGTATTTTTGTATCAGCTCCAACAACAATCTAATCTCAAACTTCTGCATGATCAAAATTGCAGCCCCAACACGTAGCCCGCAAAGCATAATAGAATTCAGGGCGTAAATATGGAACATGGGCAAAGTACATAAGATCACATCTTCACTGTGGAAATACAAGTTTGGGTTTTCTCCATCGACCTGTTGTGCCACGCTTGTGACTAAACCTTTGTGTGTTAACATCACCCCCTTGGGTAGCCCCGTGGTTCCCGATGAATAGGGTAGTGCGACGACATCGTCTGGAACGATGTCGACTTCAGGGAGATCATTCTCGTCAGCTTGAGTTAACTCAGAGAAATGTAAACAGCCCTCTGGGGCTGAGTCAATGCACATGATCTTGACATCATTGTCTTGGGCAAATTCCTTTACTTTATCAACGTAGCTGGCTTGCGTGATTATGAGCCTGGCGTTGGAGGCTTTTGCTTGCTTCGATACCTCCGCAGGGGTGAAAAAAGGGTTGGCAGCTGTGGCGATGGCACCACGGAATGAAGCGCCGAGAAATGACAGGACAAACTCGGGAGTGTTTGGTAACAAAAGCATTATCACTTGACGTTGTTTGATGCCAAGCTTGTTGAGCCCTGATGCGACTCTGCGAGCTGTGAGCTCAACTTCTGCGTACGAATAAACTTTACCTGTCGTCCCATTAATCAAGCAGGGCTTGGAGGCGACGTTCGATATGTTCTGGAAACAATATGAATGTAAAGGGATGTGCTTAGGGATATAGATATCAGGAAGCTTTGATCGATAAATGATTTCTTCTTGCTGCAATTCTGCTTGGGGTGCCATTTGTGACTAGGGAAGTTGCGCTGCAAAGAGAAAAATGTGTTGAAACTTGAAAATTTTAGGCTTTGTATATTGTTTGGAGCCTGAGAGGAAATGATAGCTGGCATTGTTATTGATATAGTAAGAACACTAAAGTTGGTGAGGGGGTTGGTGAAGGTTAGAATGGGGATTTCAAGGATTGTTGGAGGTTAAAAATCGGAAATTAAGAGGGTGAAGGGAAATTTGTGGTGTTCGTTAAATGGAGAAGCAGGGCAAGGAGGAATATAGGGTTGGTGGGGGGTTGGTTTTGGTGAGGGGATTGTGATGGGGTCCATGTTCGGTTGTGAAAGATAACAAGTTGACTCAAGAGAGGTAGCCTTTTTTCAAGACGGCTCTTTACCCACCACAATACGTCAGTTGAAATTGTCCCTGCTGGACCATTGCACCTTCACCTACCACAACCCTGGTTGCTGTGAGTAGGACTCAAAGCCCACTCTCAACTCCTTAAGGCTCGAAAGCCTTTTCAAAGGTTGATATTCAACAAGCCCACCTCCAACTTGCTGATCATCATGCCAATTAAGAACTTATTAAAATCCAAATTTCGATAATGAAAAGGAAATTTTGACAGGGAAGATGAAAAAAATGTTTAATTTAATAACAAAAATTCATAATAACATATATTATTTTATAATTTAACCTTTAGAATTTTTTTTCCTTCCTTTGTATCCTTGTTTTTTTTTTTTTTTTTGAAAAATTTCCATCTTTGTTGTTAAATAAAGTGTGCTATACCCGCTTTCTAAATTTACTATCACTGTTTCTATTACTATTATTTATCGTATTAGATTAGGTAAGTGTTTCTTTTTTTTAAAAAAAAGTATATTAGATTAATGTTGAATTCACGTGTAAATTATATATGCTTAACATATATACGAATTAAAAAAAAAAATCAAAGTCAAGAAGAAAAGGAAACAGCCCAACAGGAGCTTAATTAATGGGGTGTTAGAATAGGTAGAATAGAACTCAATATTTTTTTATCATATTTCCACACGCCTTTATGCTTACCTTCCTCCGCATTAGGTTTTTTTTTTTTTTTTCCCTTAATGTTCTCAAGTTCTTAGCCCAAAATACTTGGAGCTTTTTTTTTTTTTTAATTAAGATTGATAACTATAGTATAAATAATTAAATAAGATTTTTTTGGCCAATAATTAAGATTTTGTTTCATTGTTTTATTATTACACTCATTCTTATACTAACATTTAAGTTGTGTTTGTTAAATTATTAAAAATTAAAATTTTCAATGATTTTATTTTTTTAATGCTTTTTTTAATGAAAAATTTTCAATAAAGAAGTGATAAAAAATATTAAATAGCTATTAACTACTTAATGGATTAAGTCAGTTTTATTTTTTTTTAATATTGATTTTGTTAAGTTTATTAAACAGTACCTTATTTTTAGTTTTTTTTTTTTAATAAAAAATTTGAAACCAATTCTTTATAGAAAATTTACTAACTAGTGGATCAAATGCTTGCTATTTACTTTTGCTTGTTTATCAGGTTTAGTTGTTATTTTAACTAATTAATAATTCCTATCATTTGATTTAAAACAAATAAAAATGAATTATACTTCACATAGATAAATCACCTTAATTAAAGATAACATCAACTATTATAACTGAAAAAGAGAAAGATATTGGGCCTGAAGCTTCTTGGAATAGAATCAGTAGATAAAAGGGCATATGACCCAATACGTCTTGACCTGAGAAATGCTATTATATTCGACTAGAAAAATTACCCGGTCACATCGGGGATGTAAAATTTTTTTATTTTGATGAAATATAAATTTTTTAAATTTAATAATAAATTAAAAATTATTTTTTTAATATTTCGTTAATTTTCTATTTTAACAAAATATAATCTTTTTAAAAAAAATAAAAGCAATTGATATTGTAATTATGTCACCCAATTACAATTGAATAGATATTGGTTTCTATTTTAAATAAAGGAGATTACTTTAAAAAATTGTATAGATTAAATTTAAATCCAATAATACAAACATAATAATTTAACCTAATAATATAATATTTATCTATTATCAATATTAAGTAATTATCAAATTCAAACTTATTTGCTCACAAAATCAAAGGCCACAGCCATTTAACTTAATTTTAAAAAAAAATCAATAATTTTATTATGGTAGGAAGAGCATTACAATAATTTTGGTTAATAATAAGTGGAGGGTATTTTTTTTTTAATTATGGCTAGAAAAATATTAACTTTGATCAATTATGATATTAGGGTATTTCAATAATTATACTAAATGAGATATTATAATAATTTTAACTAATTATAAAAGAGGTATTACAATAAATTTAAACATATGCATTCAATTGTCAAGTAATTAAAAAAATATTATCATAATTTCTAATAAAATTTTGGTTGATTATGAAAGGAAGGGTACTATATTAAATTTTGACACCTGTCAAGCAATAAGCAAATAATTGAAAGGGCACAATTATCATTTTTAAATGGGTTTATTTTCATTATATAGCTATAAATTTTTAAATAAAATGACATATGTCAACTTCTTATGAATTGATTATTAAGATATTTTCGTAATTATAATAAAGGGTATTATAATTATTTTTATCAATTTTGATGGAAGAGTATTTTTGTAATTATAATAAGAAGATATTATAATAATTTTGATCAATCATGATAGTAAGTAATTTTTACGATTATAATTAGAGGGATATTATAGTAATTTTAGTCCAATACAATATGAGAGATATTTTCATAATTATGATATAGTGGTATTATAGGAATTTTATATTTATAAGAGTAATATTTTTATTATTTAAGAATAAAGACATTATGGTAATTTGATATTTATAAGAGAATTATTTTTGTCCTTTAAAAAATAGGAAGCAATACTAATATACATTCAAAAGAGGGGTATTTTTATCAATCACATAGGAGGGCATTATCGTTTTTTTGGACATATGTCAAGCAATTTAGCCAAAATTGGAAAGGTAAAATTGTCATTTAATATGGTAGGTTACTTTTGCATATAGTTCTAGATTTGCCTCGCCAATCCACTCCAAGAGAAGTAACTTCGAAGTAGTTTAGTGGCAAAAAGAAAGCAAACGGCTTGGGAGCCAAGTTTTGAAGAAAACATATTGGACAGATGACCATGTTTGTCAAAAAGAGGAACACACCTCTAAAGAAGACACAGACTATGTCTAAGAAAATCAAGTAATCTAAACCTTCAACGAAGTAGAAAGTGTCCAATGAACAAAACTTCTTATCAGTTAAGTTTGAGACCAATCTTGGAACTTCAAAATTGTATGTCATTTGACTGTTATTTTAGTCAAAAAGGGGCATGCACTGTATCTATCTATATTTGCAGCATATATTTCTAATATAACCCTCTAACGAAGTAGTTTGTGTCCAATGAATGGAACTTCTTTGTAGCCAAGTTCTAGAGAAAGCTATTGGGGAACCAAGTTATATGTAGCAGCTAGACAGATTGTCATGTCTGTGAAGAAGGAAATAGGCCGAATTTACTAAACAATAGCAATTACTGATATGGCAAAAGAATTAGCATTTGATGATCTACTCTATGTAGTTGGGAACGAGAACGAAATTTTCTTGCTTTCATGTGCCACATTTGCCGAGGAGTTGCAGCTCCAGGAGATCCTGAAAGAGTCCATGATCGCTTCTGAAAGTACCAAAAATGAATTGTCGTCGTTCTCTTCGTCCTCGCCGCCAACATCGACGCCTGAAGCAATTTCATCGCCAAGTTCCGAGCTATCTCTGGAAGAGTTAGAGAGAGGTTAATCATCCCTAAACTACTGTGATATTTGCTTTAATTAGAAACAGGATTTTTTATGTTGAAACGTCAATAATTTTCTCTAGATTGCATACAAAATATATGTACCGAGAAAGATAAAATATAACGCGAACTCTGTAACTTGTCCAGATTTTAACTTCAAAGAGCTGGAAGATGCTGCCTGTGAAGCCTTCAAGGAGCTGGAAGATGCAGTTTGTGAACCCATCAAAAAATCTGAGTGTCCTGTCTGCCACAGATTGTCCTGCACTGAATGCGCTATTCCCCGGCATTCAGGGCTTAATTGCCTTGAGCAACAGTGGATCGACTGGGATGAGTTAGGAAGAGGGCAAGCCCAGAGTTCAGGACTTATTTGCAATAAGCAACAGAGGATTAACAGGGACATGAAAGGCAGAGAGCATTCCATGGTCAAGAAACCTAGCCGAATAAGATCAACGAGACATCCCCAGTCCAAGTTCAATGGAAGAAGGATGGGAGACATCCCTCAAACCAGTTCCAGGTCAGTGTTTGTCCTAATCACCAATGTGTTTATGCCGAAGGGAAAGAAACTTGTTTAAAATATTTCAACTAATAATTTTTTTATTTGATTAACTATGTTTTGGGACAATTTAGTTTACATTTATTTAAAACAATGATCCAGAAACAAATTTCATACAAAAATGAGTTCAAGGGGCGAAGACATTCTAAATGCTGGTACTAGTAACAGCCAAGATCCTAAGGGAAAAGGCATAGCAATAGAGGATGACTGGCTGCTGGTCTCTAATAGGAAACCCAATAGCAGAGGAGGAAACCGTGCAGCCAAACGATGGGGTGATCTTGAGGATCCTAATCCTTTAAAAGGTTCAAAAGATAACAATACAAATGTTGTTCATGAGGATAATTATGATACCTTGGATGATGAAGATGACTTTGATTCCGATTCAAGTAAAAAGAGCCATGAGAGTCGCAAGAAGAGTAAATGGTTTAAGGAATTTTTTGAGAGAATGGACGCTTTTAATGTTGAGGAGATCAATGAGACCATGTGGCACTGTCCAGCATGCCAAGGTGGTCCCGGTGCCATCAAATGGTACAGAAGCATCCAGGACCTGATAGCACATGCCAAAACGATAGGAGCAAGAGGGGTGAAGCTACACCGAGAGCTTTCAGAGCTTCTAGAAATGGAGCTGAGCATTAAGGGAACTTCAATTGCTCCTGCTGAACAAATTCTTGGTAACTGGAAAGGTTTAAAAGAGGATGGAAGAGATCACCAAATAGTTTGGCCTCCCATGGTTGTTATTATGAACACAATGACAAGCGTTTTTAAGGATGGAAAGGTAAGATTATCAGACTTTATATTGGTTTTTAACTGTTGAATTAACTTGAATCTCGGTGGTCATTATTGATGCTGGTTTTTACTTCTGATTGAATTGAAAAATTAAATTCTTTCATCTAATATGGAATCTGCAACTTCTTTGTACTGAATTGGATTTCAGAATGTTGGCATGGGAAGTCGAGAGCTTCTTGAGCACTTCAGCTCGTATCCTGCTTTGAAGGCTCAACACTCCTATGGTCATCAAGGTCACCGTGGTTTGAGTGTCTTGATTTTTGAAAGCTCGGCAGTAGGTTATTTAGAGGCTGAGCGTCTGCATAAGAATTTTGTCGAGCAAGGATTGGATAGATCTGCTTGGAATTCTTGTGCAAACGAGGTCCTGCCAGGAGGAGAGCGTCAACTTTATGGTTTCATGGCAGTGAAGGAGGACCTGGATATCTTCAACCAGCAATGCCAAGGTCCTCTCTCCCTTCTGTCTCTCATCCTATTGAAGGTTTTCATTAGTTGCCCTGGATCATTCAATTGAATCCAACTAACATGCATAAGATTTACACTTGCTTTCAGTTCATCTTCTCTTCTAGTGACATGTTATTGCTATTGATCAGGTAAATCAAAGATCAAATATGAGCTGAAACCATATCAAGAGGCTGTTCTAAATGAAATCAAGAAAATGAGCCAGGATAGCCAACAGCTTATCTGGTTGAAGGACAGGCTTAAAGAAGAAAGAAAACGTGCAGAAACTTTTGAAGGATCGGTTAATAATCTGAGTAGGAACTTAAAACAGAAAATGAACGACATCCATTTATTTGAACAGAGGGTCCAATTATTGTATGAAGAAAACAAGGAAGAGGTAAAAATACTGTGACAAATTCCAGATAAAATTTTCTTTTAATTGGGACTAATGTAAGTATTAAGCATACTTTTGGTGACTGAAAGTTGAGTGGTGTTTGTCAGATGGACTCCCAGGAGAAGTTTTACAAGGATCAAATCAAAATTCTTGAAGCAAGGGTGAAAGAGCTTGAGAAGTTGCAGGAATCAGACGCAAATCCTTTGCATACACAGGAACCTCCACCTGCCCTGGCCTGCCAGCTGATGGAGGAGTACACTCCATATCAGTACTACAACAACCTCAGTATTGATGAGGACTGAATAGTGGAAAGCTCCCGCTCAAATCGAATGAAAATTGGAATGTGGACATAAACAACGGGCTTTAAGACTTTAGAGCAACTAAATATGTAGGAGCATCCCTGATGATGCCTTGTATGTTTCCAGGGTTAAATGCCTGGTTTATTTAATAGGAGCGCAAAGAGATTATTTTCAAAGAAATTTTTAGGAAAAATCAGGTTTTGAAATTAGTTTTAGAAAAATCTTCCTAGAAAGTACGATACTTTTAATTAATGTATTTATTTAATAAGAGTATTAAGAAAATTATGGTCTCAAAAGTTACTCATAACCCATTTATTATTTTACTTCTATGAAATTAGTTCGATTGTGCTTTATTTCCCACTTCTATCAAATTCATGCATTGCCGGTAAAAAGCTTGTCCTGGATAAATCCACATGCTTCTAGGCTCTAAAACAAAAAAGAATTTTGACAAAAAAAAAAAGAAAAATGAAAAGCAAAAGAGCAAGAGAATCGAAGTCAAGAGAAGTCAAAAAGTCAAGATTTATTGATTGAGAGAGAAAGTTTTTAAGGTTTACCCCTGATGAGGTAATTCAATCAGGCGAGGGATCTTCAAGGCTAAGGAACTTTGAAAGGGCATGCCACTTCCTCCATTTTGTTAAAAAGGATTAAAGAGAGAGAAGAGACAGTTAACAAAAAAGCAAGAGTCCTTGGTATATCATGGCACAAATCACACCAACTTCTGATCATGATTTTGTTGATGATTTTTACTACTTAGCACTCTTTGATCAAGATGAAGAAGAAATCTTTCCTCCATCCGATGACAAATATGCTGAAGAGTTGCAGTTTCAAGAGGCTCTCATGTCATCCACAGTATCTTCACAAATGAGTAATACTATTTCCAACCCATTCATCATCCATGCTTCATCGCCAATATTAATCCAAGCCTTCCCTCAGCCAGAGTTAAAGGAGATAAAAACAAGGGAAGCTGGTGAATCCTCCTTAAGCTTCTGTGAGATTTGTGTTGAAAGGAAAGAAAGTGATCAGATGTTCTCAACAGAAAGCTGTGTACACTCTTACTGTTCTGATTGCATTGCCGAGTATGTTTTGACAAGGGTTGGAGAAAGCATAACGATTATTACGTGCCCTGGGGTGAATTGCAGGGCCGTCTTGGAACTGGATACTTGTAGGCCTGTGCTTCCCGAGGTTGTAGTCCGTCGCTGGGAAGATGCTCTCTGCCAAGAGTTTATTAATGCATCCCAAAGATTTTACTGTCCTTTCAGGGATTGTTCAGCCCCATTACTGAATGAGGATGGAGGAGAAGTTATTAGAGAATCTGAGTGCCCATTCTGCCATAGATTGTTCTGTGCACAGTGTTATGTGCCCTGGCATCCAGGGATTGAATGTGAGGATTTCCAGAGGCTTAATGAGGATGAAAGAGGGAGAGAAGATCTCATGGTCAGGGAACTTGCCAGCGAGAAGAAATGGGCTAGGTGCCCCAAGTGCAAATACTATGTCGAAAGAACAGAAGGTTGTCCACATATGACTTGCAGGTCAGTTCATCTCCTTGTTTCTAAGATTACTCCAGTTCATCGATGATCTGGAATTATAATATCAAGGGCAGCTTTATGCATGCAGTATTATAGTCTTTTTTTGCTCTCTGATTATTTGAGCAAATCCAAAAAAAAAAAAAAAAACCCGGGAGAATGTGAATGTTCTATCTGTTCAAGCATCTTACTTTTCAGGTTTATCTAAAGGGGCAAAGTTTGAAATTTCACAGGTTGAGTTTTTTTGGAATTTGGATAGATTGACGTAGATGTTATCCTTGATATTCTGGAATGGGTTAAATTCCCTTGAACTCATGTAGATACTGGACTCTCTAGAATTATGAAACTGAGATTTATCTTATCAACAAGACTTTCAATTTTGAGTTTTTCCAGAATACCTTGTGCAAGAGAAACTTCTTGATCCGGGAGTTGTTCAATGATTGTGATTGCAGGTGTTATTTCCAGTTTTGTTATGGTTGCGGAGAAGAGTGGACTTCTAGTCACAGTGGCTGCCAGAGGAATTAAGAGTACAACAACACCACAACAGTAAACATTATATCTTTAAGTTGGTTTTAGTCTTTGAAATAAGTTGTTAGCATCGAAATGGAAACGAAATTATGTGAACAAACTTAATTTGGTCTAGTGTTCTAGTTTGTGAAGGTCAAGAAGAACAAATGTTCTGCAGTGTGAACTACTATTTGTTCAACTTATTACTGAAAATTGCTTGCTATTGCTCTAAAAGTATGTGAAAGATGTTTGTCCATTGGAGCTAAATTGTTCTTGATTAATCAAGTTAGCACTTAACGGTTCATTTTGTGGTGGTCTTCTTTTTTTTTTTCCTCAATTCGAATGCTGAAATGCATATTAAAACAGAAGTATAAAGCCATAACAAGTGGATTACAGAAGCTATCAATGAAAAAGCACTTGAAACAGATGAGCAATTTCATTAAGGCAAGTGAAAGAATAAACCAGTAAAGTACCTTTTATAGCAATGCTCAATGAAAAAGGATCTTAAACGCCATTCCTTTGTTAATACAAAAATAAGCTACTTCAAAGAAACTTCTTATATTTAGGTGGGTTCAAAAGAGGAGAATAAAAGTGAAATTGGCGAAAGAAAGTTCTGAGTTCATATCCTTGCCAATACAGTTCACTAAAGTGCAGGATTTTATTTTCTCTAATAGGCTGCCTGTTTGTATTTCCCTTGCTTTATTTGCTGATGTTGTATATAGGGGTTCTGCACCCCAGAACTCGAACTGTTGGGACCAGTTCTCATCATGATCTATTCCATTAGTGTTTGCATTTTAATGCGCACGCTTTTTATACCCCCCCCCCCCCCCCCCAAAATGGGATGCTGAAATTCACTATTAATTAGTTTGGTAATGTGAAGTATTGATAAGCATTGGCTGGAGCTTTAGTCCATAATGCTTCGCTGTTATTTATTTATCTTCTAACTTTAGCTTGTGCACATTGCTGGAAAAGCAGTCCAACTTTAGCGATGAGCAATGATGTGTCCTGTCATTGTTGTTAAATTGTTGTTTTTTTCATTCCTGACAATTTATGTATTTAAGGATTATAAATGAATGAATTCTTCATTTCTTCATTTATTTTGTCATTAGATTTCTGGTTTTATACTTTGTGTTCATCATTTTCAATTTTTTTGCTTAAATTCTTGACAAGGACATTCCAACTGAGTCTCCTTTGAATTTCATTTCTCTTGTAAGAATCTGTCTTTCTTTGCACTTTCCGCCGACAAGTGACAAAGATAATGGCCAAGGAAGGAGAGTAAAGGCAAGCTTGAGCGGTATTGCACCAATAGTGACATATATAGTCACCAATGAAAAAGGGTGCAGAGAGAAAAAAATGAAAAAAAAATCACCGGTATTTTCTTCCCTTATGTCAATTAACTAATAGAAATCTTCATATATCAATATTATTGAACTAGCCAAAATAAAAATTGTGGTATAAAATACAATTGCAATAGGTACATCATAAACATGTACATCAAGGCCCATCCTAAATTCCTATAGAAGTTCAACCCATGCAAGCTTAATCGCCTTTGAGCAATTCATGGTTTGCTTATTTTGTTTCAAATTTCAATTTTATAACACTTGTATGGTGTCTACATTCTCTATTTTCCTTGGTGGCAGTGTGATGATTTTAGGCCTGTAGTCATCTGGTCTATTGGTAGTGTTAGACTTTTAGTTCAATGACGATAACTGCAAGTTAGAAAAAAAAATGTGTTGATTGTAGAATAACAATGTCTTTTTCTCCATATTAAATGTAAAACACGGTAGAAACTTGTTTCATGGCAGTAGCAAGGAAAGTAGAGAATAAACTATTACAATTATTTGTTATACCTAACACCCCCACAAAACACGAAGAGAAAAAAGGTCAATCCTTTTCGTTCCAAAAATTTTGTGCATATGAGGTAAGTACCTTCCTTTGTTTTTAGTTTTTTTATGGTAAATCAATTGAAATGTTTGATCGCATATGTATTATTAAAAAGGTCATCTTCACAGGTAAGTTTCAAAAGTATTTTTAAAGCGCAGAGAAAAGTGTGACTATATGCATGTCTTTCTAGATAGAAAAGGACTTGCCCGAGTGTTTTTCCCTTCTATTCATATTTTCTTTTTTCTCATTAATGGAATCCAATTCCCTAATAGAAACCTAAAAGCACAAGTCAATAGTTCTTCTCCACTCATATTTTTTATTCTCTTGGCTACGTTTGAAAAATCAAAGTCAAGTCACTTTGCTTAGCTCTTGATAATTTGCTTAGGTCGTATTGGACATTTTCCTAGCAAGTTACGCGAAAGTTAAATCAGAAAGGACATCTTCCTACAAGTTTGCTTGAAAGCTATGCTATTTATATACCGATGGTTGTAACTAAGACTAGTTAAATTGCAGGATAAAGAAGATTGGGGCTGTAATTAGCTTTGTGACATGGCAAAAGATTCATCTGATTTTGATTTTGCAGAAGATATTTACAGGTCAGAAGTCCTTGATGAAGGGGATTTAGAACAATTAGATGCCAAGTTTGTTGAAGAGTTACAGTTTCAAGAAGCAATATTTTCCTCAGTCAAACAAAATATGTCATCCTCAACCTCAAGGCCAATGAATATCCAAGCAACCTCATCGATGTCTAAGCCCGAGGCAAGGAAGTCTGCAACAGAAGTTGTTGAATCCTCCCTAAGGTACTGTGAGATATGCTTTGATAGAAAGGAAAGGCATCAAATGTTCACAATCTCAGGTTGCTCCCACTCATTTTGCTCCGATTGCATTAGCATGCTTGTAAAGACAAGGCTTGAGGAAAATATAACTATAATCATGTGCCCAGGGGAGAATTGCAAATACATTTTGGAGCTTGAAGCATGTAGGCCTCTGCTTCCTAAGGAGGTGATCAATCATTGGGAGGATTTACTATGTGAAGAACTACTTTGTGCAACTGGCGGAAGACTTTACTGTCCTTTCAAGGATTGTTCGGCCTTATTGCTGAATGATGACCAAGAAGTCATAGCAGAAACTGAGTGCCCTGTCTGCCATAGATTGTTCTGTGCCCAATGTCTTGTTAAATGGCATCCCGGGATCGACTGTGAGGAGTATCAGAAGCTGAGCGAGGATGAGAGAGGAAGAGAAGACCTCATGGTGAGGAACCTTGCCCAAGAGAATAAATGGCGTAGGTGTCCCAGTTGCCATATGATAGTAGAAAGAACAGAAGGCTGTCTACATATGACTTGCAGGTCAGTCTATGAATTATGCTTGCTTGCTTAGAAAGAAAGCACTGACAGAAGTTAGTGTTATTTTTGTTCAAGACTGATTTCATTTGAAATTAACAAGCTTCGATCATGGAGTTCAGGATTGAACTAAAACTTCCCAAATTGATCCAACCCTCATCAATTCAGATATTGGTGCAATAGCAATTAATAAATTTATCTGGTTAGAAGGCTTTAGATTTCTTGTCTTTCAAGCTTATTGGATTTTGTCAAAACTTGTTGTTGCAGGTGTAAGGTCGAATTTTGTTACGCGTGTGGAGCAGAATGGGCTCATGATCATGGTGGCTGTCAGGGCAACTAAAGACCAAAGCATGAGAAGGATAACAAAAGAACGTGAAAAGCAGTTAGTGAAGTTGTTTTCAATCATTGGAAGTGGCTCTCAGCATCCAGATAGAAATGAACACAATTTGTCCTGAGAAGTTTGGTCTTGGTTTAGTATTCTAGACCAGGAAGCTGCAAGCATACAATGTAATGCATGGTAGAAAATTTGTGTCACCTTCTGAATGTCATTTGGCTTTGTTTGCTGCTATTGAGAATAATTTTAAAGAGAACTCTAAAATTGAGCATTCAAGTTACCCGATTACTTTCAACAAGTACACAGTACATTTAAACTTCTCTTCAACCGCTGACTAGGTACATCTGTTTACTAAGTATAACAAGAGAAAATTGATGGAGACAGAATTTTCAATATACATTTTTTATTTTTACTTGAGCTGTCAAGATTTGAACTCAGTTAAAATCTGTTAAAATTGAAAAGTTCAACACTCTACAAATAGTTCACGGTATTATCCGTAAATTCTTAATATATTTTAAGACTAATCTTTAAGGCGGCAATCCATTCATAGAAACCTCTCATAGTTTAATGACTATGAAAAACCTAGAAATTTCTTTGCATGGTGGAAACTCCAACAAGGATCAAAATTCAGGACAAAGTTACTATATTTAGTCTCATTTTAAACTGAGCATAAACCCTGGTTGGGACGTTGACTGACCTACAGCCAATTCAATTTTCTTGCTGATGTCTCAGAACATAAACTAGATTTTTGTTCTAACCTGCTCATTAAAATAACAAAAAAAAATCAGGTATGTTTTTCCAAGCCCTAATCAATCCAAATCCCAGATGAATTATGTCAATCTGATGGCAACCCATTCATCGACTAATTCATTTAGATTCAATCCTTGCTGCAATTCAAGGTTTACTTCCTTAACTTGAGTTGGCTAATAGTGCTTATTCTTTTTGAAATTTCTAATTTATCACTAACTTCAATCCATACCCTTATACTTATCTAATTAAAACGAATATTATACTCATAAGCATCTTCTTACATATTGCTTGCATTAATTACCCAAACTAGATCTATTCATAAAAGTAGTATTGAAAATTTATTTATTTCTCATCCTGCTTGACTCTTTCCACACTTCATGTTTATTTGATAAGCTAGTATAATGAATCACAAAGCGTCCATTTCCAACTTGATCTTTTAAAGGCAATTTCATATGCTGTTAACAAAGTTTTCAAGGAAAATCTGTCATACATTTGTTATACCAACATATGCGTTTCCAGTTTTCATTGAATAACAGCTAAAGACAACATATAGAAGTGAAAAGAACTCCAAAAGAAATTAAATCTTCTATGCAGGTGGTGAACTCAGTTTTAGAACCTAGTGATTCCGTTCTCTTTAGTTAAAGCTTAGTAGAACTCCCTCTTCCAATCATTGACTTTTGATTGGCACATTATATTAACACGTTGTAATACCCTTTTTTGAATGGAGTTTTTCTGCTGTTTTAAATGTGTAACTCATGTGATTGACCGTACTCTTATGTTTTGCTGAACAGCAAACGAGAGAGGCTTTACTTGAATAAGGATATTCTCTCCTCAGGAAGCAACAGCTAACAATGGAGACTAAACTTTCAGCGTACATGAAGAACAATGATGACTGTTGAACACAAGTTTTGTTTATATATTTGATACATATCTTATGGAATTACGTTGATTTTTGCTTCCCCTAATCTCCCTGTCAAGCATGTCTTCAGAAGTGCAAGATCACAATTTTGCCACAAATCATGTGATAGCATCTTCAGTCTTTGTCATTCACCGTGGCTTTTAATTTCAGGGTCCAATTTTATCACCATAATTCATTCCTAGAGTTAGTCAAGGTCTGACTAATGCCATTACTAAAGTTTAACCAATGCTTGACAATGACGGGTCCATTTTAGGGGTCTAATCATTAAATGCAGTGGGTCGGAGCCCTTCAATCGGGCTGGACTGTAAGCCACTTGGTGTGATATATGATTATCGACTTAAGTTTATATTTTTGACTTCATTCCAAACCCGCTTTTGGCCCAAAAAATTAAAGGCCCTTAGATAAGATGTGAGCCTGCGACCGCTTGTCATTAAAATGGAAGAAATAATTCCCCGTCTTATAGTAATTATTTTTTATCCATGAAAAGAGTGTGTGTGTGTATATATATATATATATATATATATATATATAAGACAAAGGAAGAATGGGTGGTCGACGAGAGCAATCGCAATGCCCGGCCACACCTACGCAAAGCTATCGCTTAAAAAGCTGAAGCTAGCTAGTTTATCTCTGGTGGTCAAGAACTGTGAAAAAGACGAAAAGAAAACGTGCCTCCAAGTTCAAAGGCTAAAGAACACAACACCAACTGCGACACGTTATAAGAAGCCAATAAATTTGCAATATATGTATGGAGAGGATTTTATCAATGTGACAATGCATTGTCAGTAATGATCCTCAGACATAACTTTAACTACATATTTTTTTATATTTAAATTTATCAAAAATTAACTAAAAATCTAAAGCTGAGAAAAAAGCATTTGAACGTGGACCTCCCATGATTCAAGTGTGAATTTATGCCTGTTTCACCATAGCTCCAAAAGTGCACAATTTCTTATAGGGTAAGAAACTCTCCTAATAAAGACATCAAGAAAGATACTTGAACCTTAATTTTTATGTTAATAAAGTATGCTTAAATATTAAACCCGACATTTAAGTTAGCTTTTCATTCCTTAATTATGACGTAACCGATCCACACCATCCATCTAATCAGATGTTTATGTCATCCAAGTAATTCTTCAAAGGAAGAATGGCATATTCTTTTCCATTATGTTAGTGCTAAAGAACCATCCGCTTCAATAATCGAATCCAATGCTTAGTTTTGAGCATCCCATAATTTCATACTTCCATCAACTCAAATTTTGCACTAAAAAAAATCACCCACTTTCAAAAGCCTTGGGGAGGGGGGAAAAAAAGGGAAAATGTCAACTTTTTTGTGACTTGCACATTCCAACGGCTTCCACTGCTGTTTTATGGGTAGCTCTTTTTGGTGGAATTAAGGGTTTAAATGAACAGAATTTTTTATAAACTGTTTGTAAATATATTCGATTTTTATTTATTTATTAAGTTTAATAATGATTTTGAATAATATTTTTATATTTATTTGTTAAATGAATTGAATGCGAATAAAAATTTATTTAATTTGTTTATATTTGTAAATAAGCTTGTTTAAAATTTGTTTAAAATTTTTTTGTTTGTTTTTTATTTATTGTTTGTTTATAATAATATTAATAAAATTATAATTTTATTCTTTACCCCAATTTTATTTTTAAATGCATTTATAGTTGTTTAGATTTGTTTATGTTCATTTAGAATTTGTTTGTTCAAATTTATTTTATTATTGTTTGTTTATTGTTCATGAATATATTTGTTTATATATATTTATGAATATATTCGTTTAATGTTCACGAATAAGCTCGTTTAACTTAATTAAATGAATACAAACATAACGTAATAATTAATTATTTAAACGAATGAATATAAATTAATTAATTAATTTTTTTAACGAATACAAACCGAATACAAATATTTATAAAAATAAATGAATAAATTATATATATACGTTCATTTATTTATATTCTATTCATTTATAGCATTAGGTGTAATGATGACTAAACTTGGTTGACAATGCTTAAAGGAGAAAGGAAAAGCATTAATCTTGTCTCACTAGTTTTAAACCAAAAAGTAAGGATTTTGATTCTTTTTTTTCTTTGTTGACGTGGGTCAGGTTGATTCTGTTTATCTGATTCAAACTATAATGTGGTTGGTTTTGATGGCATCTCTAATGAGCAAAGCAGCCATATCTTTGATGCTAACTTTGCATTTTGGATGAATGGATTCTGCCTTTTTTTTTTTAATTATTATTGTGCTCAATTAAGATTAGAAGATTGCTTTCACACCGTTCAATATTTTTTTGGGAAGAAGGGTTAACATTATTAAATCCATGAATACTCCCAATAAAGGAAAGGTGATATGATTTGATTTTTGGATTGACTCCATTTAAAATTTGATCTGCAACATGATGAGAATTATTCTTGTCATATCCCTCCCTTCAGCTTGACTTCAATTGGCTAATTGATTTTTCTTTTCAGTTCAATTAGTTGCTAATGTGGTAATCAAATTGCTCAGTCTATATGGTTATTATGATTGGATTATTGCTCTACACACTATGGATTAAAATTTTAAATTATTAGATAATGCCACTACATAATGTGTGATATTACCATAAAATTATATTTTCAAAAAGACAGCTTCTAGTTTCATACTTATGAGAGAGGGACATATAACTAATTTAAAAAAAAAAAAAGAAAGCAAAAGTCTGCAGTAAAATAAGATAAAATTTTGGTTTTTACCACTATGTTTATTCAAACTAAAGATCGTTTTTTGTAGTTAAAAAACATGTCCCACCATTTGTTTTTCAAAACCCAGACACGTTTTTTAATTTAAACTTTAATAATTTTCAAGAATCCTTGTGGCATGACCTTTTCATAATTACTACTTTTGCTTCTAGCTCTTTTATTTTTTGCATTTTCTCATGTTTTCCCGCCCCCCAAACCAGCCACGCAGCAGTCTTTGACTAACAGTTTTATTTTATTTTTGAAACAGACACAAAGTTACTGTTTTAATTCTAACCTTTGAAAGACCTTCGGTGGTGGGTGATTGCAGTGGAACAACCTTTGAAATTTATTTGAATTATTCAATGTCTTCTAATCATTCCCTCATTGATCACATGAATAACTATTACATAAAATAATCATTTATGTCTTAAAGATTTCTTATATGTATAAATATATCTAACTTTAATATATTTTTATTTTTTTTTACCCACAAAAATAAAATTGTCTTACACCTAAACAACGGTTTTATATAATATCCATAATTTGTAACGTAAGCCCATAAATTTGGTATATTTCACTACTTTCAATCAAATCAAAGCAAAAAAAATCTACACGAAACCATGAAATTTCATAATCAATTTTCAAATCAAAAAGTTCCGTTCATTTGTATTATCAATACTATTTACTTTGATATAGGTGGCCGAATCCATTTAAACCCTTACCTTCCACGTTTTATTAAATAAAAATTAAATATAATTATTATTTTTTAAAATATGTATGATTTCGGTTTACATTTCTAGAAGCAATAGTTTCTCATTCCATTAATCATTTTCTTAATTTATTAAAATTATTATGCTTTTAGTAAATGATGTATTTTATTTCTCACAATAAAATATATAGATAAAATATCACTTTCTCATTCTCAATATTTAAATCCACAACTTTTAATTTATCGATGTTTTCAAGTTCTAATTATTAGAACATACCATAAAACAAAATGAAAATACAC